CCCCCCAGATTTCTCAGGTTGGAGAGATGGCTCAGCAGTTAAGAGCACTGGATGCTCTTGTAGAGGACCCAGATTTGGTTCATGGGTCCTGGTGCACTGGATACAAGTTGCAGACCTTGGGACCAGAGAGATGGCTCAGTAGTTAAGAGTGCACACTGCTCTTCCAGAGGACCCAAGTTCTGTTCCCAGCACCCATATCTGGTGGTTCACAATGGCCTGCGACTCCAGCTCAGGGGAACCAACACCCTCTCTGGCCTCCAAGGGTACCTGCACTCACGTGTCTATCCCCCTCCTCCCACATGTACATGTGAGTAAAAATAAAATAATCTCTAGGCTTCTGCCTAGTCTGGCCGCGTTTGGATGCTCGCTTCCGCCACATCTGAGGCCAGCATGAGCACCTGCTGCACCTGGTGGAGCAGCTCAAGCTGGAGGTGAGTGTGGAGCAGGTCAAGGTCTCTCAGGCAGCTACACAAAATGGTGATGACTCCAAGTCCCAAGGAAACAGCCTTCTCCAGCCAAACAACTTTCAGATATATTAGATTGTCCCTGTGGCTTGGTCCAATAGCCAAATTCCCCAGAAATTAATGATTTTTCTATTCAGATCAGGAAAGCTAATGAAAGAGTGAAGTTTTCAATGATAAGTGACCTCGTTTTTTTGCTGAGTATTTCATATTGATACAAATAGAAACCATACCACCAAGTTTACTAAAATGCATCTCTTCCTTAACTGAGGTACTAGTGTTGTGCCTGGAATATCAGGTATGTTTTATTTACTGGATGTTTACATTTTAGGAAAGAAACATTTTTATTACAAAAATTGAGTATTTGACGGGGCTGAAGAGATGCCTCAGCGGTTAAGCACTAACTGTTCTTGCAGACGACCTGGATTTGAATCCTAGCACCCACATGGCTTCTAACAACCATCCAAAACTCCAGTTCCAGGGGATCTGGAACCTTCTTCTGACTTCTGAGGGCATTGCATGACACAGGCACACTTACACACATGCAGGAAATACACTTTTAAAATAAAAATAATAAATAAAATATTAAAAAAACAAAAGTTGATGCCGGGTGTGGTGGCACATGCCTTTGATCCCAGCAGTTGGGAGGCAGAGGCAGGCGGATCTCTGTGAGTTCAAGGCCAGCCTGGTCTACATAGGGAGTTCCAGGATTGCTGGGGCTACAGGGAGACCCTATCTCAAAAAGACCGAAAAAAAAAAAAAAGCTAAAAATGAACCTACCATATGACCCGCACTCCTTGGCATATATCCAAAGGACTCATCCTGTTGTAGAGACACTTGTACAACCATGTTTGTTGCT